CTTCTACATTGCTTTCTGAATATTGCAAAATGTACCTTGTGGGTTGTGAAACCAAACTGTGGTCTGTTCTTAGCAAATCTGCTAAATTTGTCTTTGCAAAAGCACTGGGAGTGACTGAGATCAGAATTCCCCTACAGGGTATCAGGCCTGGGTCATGCAGTCTTTCACAGAAGGAAGTGATCATGCAATGCTGTAGCCAAATCCTGACACGTTTGGTCTTTGGATCCATGGAAAGAAGCAAGGGCTTTGCAACAGATGATGAAAATTAAATATTATTGCCACTCTCACAGAAAATAAAGTGCTAGTAGCAGGAGGGAGAGTGTGACCCTGCAGAGTTCTGCTCCCCCGTGAGCAGCCCCAGAGCAGCACCCATGCGGGTGGGGGAGCCGAGAGCTCCCAGCCAGGCCGGGCACTACAGCCGGGCCCCCGTGAGCACGCGGGGATGCAGTTAAAGAAGCACCAGGCGAGCCGGCTGTGTGGTAGCACGCTTTATTTGCAGCGGGGTTTCCAGGGCAGCACACGCGTCCCGAGCCCCGGGGGCTTCGCCGGGCGGCGGCATCGCCCCCAGCCCCGACGGCAGCGGAGCCGGGGCCGCTCCTCCCTCCCGAGAGCTTTTGCGGGGAGGCCGGACGAGAGGGCAGCCGGGGTCAGCCCCGGAACGGGCGGTGGCCCCGGCCCTTCATAGCGCCTGGTAGGTCCGTCGGGGAGGCGGCGAGCCGGGCGTCCCGGGCCCCGAGTCGATGCTGGCTCCTGGCGAGAGGGAGCCGGCGTGACGGAGGGGCAGCCCCGGCTCCTCTGCCGGAGAGAGGCGGTCCACGATGCTGGAGAGGCAGTCCAGGCTGGACAGCGCGCCGCTCTGCTCCGCCGCGTAACCTGGCACCGGGGCGAGCCGCTTACCGCAGGCCGCCCAGACGCGACCCCCGCCCTCCGGCCGCCCCGACCTCCCCGCCCGCCGCCGGCCTTACCGTGGGGCATCTCGGGGCAGTACCCCGCCTCGAAGCTGCTGCCTCTCGCCGGCCAGACCGGGCTGCCGCAGTCCGCCTGCAAGACAGCGAGGGGCCAGTGCCGGCCCGTCCGCCCGCGCAGCCCCCCGAAGCATCCCGGTAGAGCGGGCGGCGGCCCCTCGGGTGCGCTCCAGCCGGGTTGCACCTCCCTCCCCACGCACGGCCCCAAACGGAGGGGACAAAGGGCGAGCAGAGGCTGGGGTGCCTGCTGGGTGCCCTAAAGCCCATGTGCAAGCTTAAATTTAGGAAAGGGCTGGTGGGAACTCAAATTGTCCAACATTTTTAAGATTTCACCCAAGTTATCCACCTTTTCCCGAAGTCCCGCTGCCAAGGGCCCTTGCTCAAGCCCATCGTGAGCTGCCCCTCACCCTGCCCTGCTCTTACCATCCCATCGGAGCAGCTGGAGCTGGGGCTGGTGGGCTCAGAGCAACTCTGTCCCGGCAGGTGATAGTAGTTCTCCACCTGTTCCCTTAAGAGCTCCTGGAGGCTCTCGATGTACCTGATGGCGTTCCTCAGGATCTCCACTTTGGGGAGTCTCTGGTTGGGGTTGGCTGTGGTGCACCTCTTCAAGGTCTCGAATGCTTGGTTTACTTTCTTCAGCCTCCTCCTCTCCCTCATAGTGGCTGCCTTCCGCCGGTCCATGGTGGTGGATTTCCTCTTGCAGGCTTTGCAAGCCCACATGAGGCAGTGGCCAGCCTGGTGGTGTCCACTGGGGGCCCGGACGTGCTCCTCTTCCTCAGGGCAGGCAGGCTCAGTGGGCACAGGGGCTCCAAAGGGAGGCAGCTCCCTTGGCTCAAAATCCTCGGGGAACTCACCCTCAGGGGACGACAGGCAGGAGCTGTCATAGAAGAGCTCGGATGGGGAGAACTGGCAGCTGTCCATCACCTCCATCTCTTCGTCCGAGGCAGCAGAGTGGGCTGGCAGCTCGCAGTGCAGTGCAGTGATTCCCTCTGCAATTAGCGACCCGAGACAAAGTGGCCGCCGGCTGATGCGGGGCCCTATATAGGCGCATTGTGGGAGGTTGGCCCGCAGCAGCCCGGCTCCATTAGCATATCCCCCGCAGCCCCTGCCCGGCTGGGCAGGCCCCCTCTGGCCCCCAAGGGGCTGATTTGCTCTTCACCCGCCTTTGAGCAGTCTCTAAAGCCTACACCAAACTGGGGAGCTTGGGGAGGGAAAAAAAAAGATGGGCAGTGAGTGCATGGACCATGGACATTCCCCATATCACCCCCTGCATCACCTTGCCATCACCAAGGGGAATGAATCCCACCACACCCGCGGTGCCTGCTCTCCTATCCCTATTCCCACACTACAGATCCAACGTGACATGATTTACTCCTCTTTCAGCACTCGCATTCACCCGTTGATCTCAGAAGGCACTTTGTCCTGTAATTAAAGCTGTGTTCCCACAAGAGGGGACAACAAGGACAGCTATGTGTAGCAAGGAGCAGGCAAACAGATGTTTGTGCTCTTAGATTGGGTCACATGGAGAAGCGCTCACAAAGTGCGTTTGCTGCCAGACAAACTCCTTCCCATTGCTTCTCCTCCGTGTGCGACCCGATGCTGCCAGAGACACAACAGCCGCGCAGTGCCCTGGGCCCGCTGATTTTCTGCTTTCAGGCCAACTTGCACCGTTACAGATGCGTCCCAGCTGCCGGCATAACAAACCCCTCCTGGAAGTGTAAAATTTCTAACCCCAAACCTCTCGGTAACTTTACACAGGGCAGGGACAAAGCCCTGCGGAGGCCCAGCCGCAGCAGTAGCGGGCAGAGCTGCGCAGGGGTCATTAGAGCGGTAATGAAGCCATTTAACAGGCAGCTGCTAATGTGCGGGAACCCTTTGGTTTCAGCCAGGTGGCTTTTGCAGTTGGGGACAATATTAGGAGAGTGCAAAGGAAACTTTCCCTACCTGGGAATAAAATTATGTCATTAGGCTACCACAGACAGAGGGAAAGTAGCCTGCAGTGATTCGGGTGGAGCGGTGTGGTGCCAGGTAGAGGGCATGGCTGCAGCAAGGGCTGTGGGAAGGGGAAGAAAGGGACATTCCCACCCCGTTGTCTTCGGGAGCCTTCACAGGGACACAGTCTCAGACACAGCGCCCACCCAAAGCTTCTGCACCTGCCTGGGCAGTAAGCAGGGTCTGGGGTTAGGATCTCCCCCTGACCCTTGCAGGACCCCTGCCCTGCACTCTCATCCCTCTCCTGCCAGGATAAAAAAAAAAAAAAAAAAGGGGGGGGGGGGGGGGAAATAATAGAAACGGATTTTCATTCTTAGGATGAAACTTCTCCTAAAGGAAACTGCAAGCGTGTATGCACCCTTCTATATAAGAAAGATCGAGGGGCTTGGGAGGGCTGCATCTGCACTGCAGTGGTTTGTGTGGGGCCATAAATGGGGTGAGCCCCCTCTGAAAGGAATACTGCACGAAAAGCAGAAAGTTGCTCTAAGGGCTGAAGTTACAGAGAGGCAAGCACGAGCACTCCGAGCCTGTGCCGGGCAGCGCGGCCGTGCCCTAAGCCGCCGGCCGGGAAGGCTCAGCTCCGCGGTAACGTGAACCCGTCACTGGGCTGTAGCTCACCCCCCTCCCCCCATTTGATGTACGACGTTCGCGCCGGCTAAACTAGAGCTGTGTGCAGCTTTGTGTACAAACACGCTCGGTCCTTTTCGGGCCGGAGGCCGCGCTTCCACTGCCCGGCGCTGTGCGTGCGGTGCGACGGAGCCGGGGCTGCGCGCACCGCGGTCCGTGCGGGGCTGGGAAAGCCTCGTCCGCCGTGCTTGGCTGTCTGGGGGTGGGAAGAGGGGAAGCTGTGCAGCACAAAGCGTGCACTGATGTCCCTCGGGAGCGCCCAGCTCCTCTGGTAAAGTGATCTCACAACAAATTCTAAGTGCGGCAGGCGACTGGAACTAACGAGAGGGGAGCGCAGACGCAGACTTACACGGCTGCGGCTGCAGGGGAGGGGGCTTCCAGCCCTTTGCAACAAAATGCTTCTGACGGAAACCGCGGGGTATGCAGGCTTGGGGGTGGGCTCGGCCCGTTGAGGCAGAGCTGTGTCTGTGCGCTACCGCAGCGGCCGCTCCCGGCGAGAAACACGCGTTTGGTCCCCGTGCTGGGAACGGCGCACCTAAGTAAACACATCGGTACCTGCCGGGGGGGGTCGGGTGGGGACAGCTGAGGAAGGCATTGGCCTCTGCCGGCACTCAGGGACTCCCAGGAGAGATCAAAGGGACACACGAGGGCTTTTAGCAGCCTTGGGACTGGGAAAGTCGCAGTTCCCGCTGCCGGAGGGCTGCCGGCGAGCACATGGCTCCGTTATTTGCCTACTCTTCCCCCGCCCCCCGCTCCCGTTCCCCTGCCCGTTTGCTTCAAAAACCCTACGCGTTCTGCAGGCAGCTGCCGCCGCCGGAACCGCGCGGGCTGTGAGCGCTCGGCCGCGTCCGTCCCAGCGGGCCGGCAGCCCCGCGCTGTGTGCAGGCGGTGCGCTCCGTGCTGGACGGGGGGCGGCGGGGCGGGATGGGGCAGCCGCCTTAGTTAGCGTGAGCGTGGTGCGCGGGCCCCCTGGAGAACAGATGTGAAGCAAAGATGTAAAGCGCAGACCTCGTGTGATCGTCCTCCCTTTGATAATGTGATTCAGGGCAGTGTTTTGGTTTCGGAATTGGGTGCAGATTGTCGTTATTAGTATCGAACACAAACGCTTGAATTGCAAACACAGCGAGGACATTCCCGTCGCAAGGAAGCCTGGGGTCCCGGGGAGCCCCATCGGAGGTGTTCTGCTGAAACGGGCTGCGGCCGATCAGAAGCGAAAACGAACGAAACGACGTCGCTTTTTCGCCAACGCTTGTGGGTTCCTGTGCTCTCCAGGCCGAGGAGAGCGAGACCTTTCCGAGAAGTGGCTGCGACCTTTCGAAACCAGAAAAGAAAACGGCTCAAAGCGGCTCCCTTCCACCGCCTCCTGCGCGGCATCGCAGGACCGGTCCGGGTTTAATAACCGGGAGGGGAACGCTGTAACACAAAGAGCTTTTATTTTACAGTCCGAGGAACCCTTTCTTATATACAATATCACGTCCATCATTTAAATACACATCTGTCACGTTTACAAAAGGCAGTACTGAAATTATTTACAAGACGCGAAACGAGGCGGGGACGCTCTGAGCACGACGCAGACGAAACGCAGCCAAACGGCTTCACCCTGACAGGAATGGACTGCTCGGCTGGGCGCAGGGCGAGCGCTCCGCCGGTACAACGCTAAGTACCGTCAGTTAAAAATAATTAAAAAAAAAAAAAAGGGGGGATGGGGGTGGTCTGTGGGACAAAACTTCAAGAAAACAAAACGGAAGATACAAAGAGGGGTGAGAGAAGAGTCCGTGCGGCTCGGGTCTCCGAGGGCAGCGTGTCCCGAGGCAGCCGCATCGCCGCGGAGCTCATTTCTCCACCACCTCCTCCGCGCCGGGCAGCTTGGGCTCGTCGGAGGAAATGCTGTCCACGATGGAGGAGAGGCAGCGCAGGCTGCTGGAGGCCGACGACTCCACCATGGAGCCCCCTGCTCGGCGGGAGAGAGGGGTTAGGGAGCGGGCGCGGCCGGCAACGAGGCCGCGGGGAGCCGTCACGGGGCGGGGGCGCCGGGCTGCGGATGAGCGCCGAGCGCGGCGGCCGTTACCTGCTTTGGGGCTGCTCCCCAGCGCGCGGGAATGGTCGGAAGCGCCGTGCCAGTCGGAGCCGCAGGTGCTCAGGAAGTCGGAGCCGGGGACCTGCGGCGGGGCGCGGGGAGAGGGAAGGCTGCGTTAGCGAGGCGCGTTCCCCCGGCCCCCATCCCCCCCTGTTCTCCTCCGCCCCCCCCCCCCCCCTTCCCCGCGGCCGTCAGCCCCCCGTCGGGGGGAGGAGGAGGGGAAGGAGGGAGGGGAGCGCAGGCCCGCAGCTGGGTGCCCGGGCGCAGGCCGCCGTGCTTACGTTTCCCTGCTTGGGGCTGAAGCTGAAGGGGTCTGCCGCCACCTCCTGCATTTTGTCCTGCTGATCCAGCCTGTGCAGTAGGTCCTGCAGCCTCTCAATGTAGCTGATGGCGCTCCTGAGGATCTCCACCTTGGGCAGCCGCTGGTTGGGGTTGGCCACAGTCCTCCTTTTCAGAGCCTCGAAGGCTTCGTTGATCTTCTTCAGCCTCCTCCGCTCCCGCAGCGTGGCCGCTTTCCGCCGGTCGGTGGGGGCCGACTTTCTCTTGCAGGTTTTGCAGGCCCAGATGAGGCACTGGCCGGGGCAGTGCGGGGGCTGCAGGCCCGGCGGGGCCAGCACGTGCTCCTCGCCGCTGCTGTCGCTGCCGGCCTCCGGCGGCAGTTGGTCCTGACACGGGGACAGGGTGCCGTCGCTGCCCGGGTACAGCGGGGAGCCCTCTGCCATCTCCAGCTGCTGCAGGGCCCCATTCTCCCCGTCCAAGTAGAAGAAATAGGAGCCGGTTTCGAAAAGGTCCATCATCATGCTGTCCCTGGGCCCCTCTGCCTGCTCCAGTGGGGTGGCAGGCTCAAAAACACCCCGAGGAGCAACCCAGATGGAATTTAATTAGTGCGGTGACATAAGTCCCCACTGCTTTATATATAGGAGCTGCTGAAACCCTATCCAACTTTTAGCTGTCGCGGTGCATCACCCTCCAAAACTGATTCCAGCCAGTCTCCTGGGCGCTGTCCTGAGAACATCTCCTATTTAGAAGGCTGGGAAGGAGGGGGAACATGGGGAGGGAGGCAAAGAGAAGAAAAAAAGGAAAACAAATGACAAAGAAAAATGCCCCCCGAAGGCCTGTGAACTTGGGATGACGAGGTGAGGAGGGGGTTTGGGGAGCTGTGTCCGAGCACAGCAGGCAGCTCTGCTGAAGGCTGGCAGGGAACACAGACACAGAGCTGCCCACGGAGCCCTCCCCTGCCACACACACGCGGCCAGATACTCACCATACACACACTGCACACTTCTTACCACAGTGCTAGGTACAGGTTTGTAAGGAGGGCTTTCAAAGGCAGCCATGGTTGTCCAAACAGAAGGAGAAATGTTTTCAGAAGCCCCTGCTACTCCCTCTGCCCCCTCAAAGCATGCCATTCCTGTGACCCACAGCCAGCCCAAGGTTGGGAGCCAGTCTCACTGTTCTTCCACACACAGGGGAAGGTTGCCAAGGAAGAGCCGTGCTGCAGAGCTGAAGCACCTGTGGTTATCACACCCTGGTGCAGTGTTTTCCTTTGAACTTTCCGATGTTTCCTGGGAGATGACAGAAGTGAATTCAGGTGACTGGGTTACAGCCTAATGGGGCTCTCCGGACAGCCCCTGTCCTTGACAGTGTCTAGGGCAATCAAAGCCCAGGCATCTGTTGAAACTGCAGCTTAATCCCTTGGGCCTGGCAAGACTTACAGAGCTTCCTGGCCCCCGAGACAGAAATGGAGCTTGTGATCTCCCTCTGTTAAGATATACTGTAATGTCACATCTCACCTCAAGAAAGAGAAAGTGTGGGAAAATGTCTTGTATTGCTTCTTTCACTGGTCTGCCTTGAGATCCTTACGTGACATCTTATTTCTCACTGCTTATGTAAAAATAGACATATGTGTATACACATGCATGTGTTTGTATCTACAGACACACACATGTGTATATATGTATGTGCATAAGTAGGTATATTTCTCTGTGTCTGTGTGCATATTTGCTCAGATAAGCTCAATAATACACGAGGAGTAGTACCATCATGTCTCTCACAGCTAGCTTCTAATTTCATAGTTTTGTGAAGTAACTGTGGTATTTTTGTTCAGTTGTCAAAAGCTACATTAAAATCAGTCACTGACTTGTCTTTCTCCAAAACTGATTGCAAACCAGTTTTTCTGAGTACAAAAATAGTGGACAGTAGCCATGATTTTTGTTTCAACCAAATTAATATTGTTAAAATTGACCTAATTCCTGGTTTAATCAGGTAGGATGATACCCAGTTTTGGATGAGACAGAGAAATGCAGCCTGTTCCCTGTGAAACTAACTTGGATATTTATGTTCCGGCACTAAGTTGTATATATGTATATACATACATATATATATATATATAATAACATATATAATATATATATATATATATTGGTTAGCCTTACAATTAAGAAGTTGAACATAAGGCACAGTTTCTCAGTTTCCCAGCTCTGTAATTAGTTTTCTGTTTGACCTTTGACCAGTCACTGAATTTTCCTGTGATTTAATTTTCTACCTTTAAAAAGGGATGTAATGTCAGCCTGTACCCATCCTGTGTGTTTCTGGATTGCCATTTACTGAGGGAAGAGTTGCTCCTTGCAATTATGTGCCTTTCAGTGTTAGAGGAATGTTAGTCCCACACTGTTAATTATAATAGTAATAAATAAATTATGCATGCTCATCACTTAAAACACTTTTTGTTACAGTATTATTATTTTTTTTCTTTTAATCTTTAGTTTCTTCACTGCTGATCTGGAGGTGTTTGGAATAAGACAGAGATTAGATCAATTTACACAAATGAAAACTTTGGGAGAAATATTCATAAAATGTCCTCTTGGAGAGTTTTAACTTGACTAAGGGAGTTGGGAAAGTAGAAGTTGAGGAGCCAGATGCTCCTTCAGCTGTCAACAGATTGATTTTTTTTTTGCTTTAAGCAGGAAACAAAAAGTTCTTTCTTTCTTTCCAGCATTGATTCATTGAGAGCTGGAGTAAACAGACCTAGTTCCTCAAAGTAATGTGGGGACAACAAAGATAGCCCTTTGTTGAGCAAAACTCTTCTCAATTGTAACTGAATTTTAGTTTGAGTGAAATTGGCCATTTCCCCTTCATGTAAGCAACTTTGATTTTGCTTTAGCCATTGTGTTGCATCTCCTGTTCTAGCTCCTTGGTCAGCACAGCAGCTAGCAAGCAACCATAGCTTATATGAACAAAGTACCCTTAATAATTTTCACCATTTCAAAAGCATTACAAATGGAGGGGTCAGAAATTGGTGCTTGTCTTTGTTCTCTCACACCTTGCAGCTGTATTGGAAGAAAAATATATGAACAAGAAAAACTGGGCATGGCACTGGAATGGGCATCTCTGGGGAAGTCCATCTGTAAGGTACAAACTGCTACTTCACAGATCTTCACAGGAAAACTTGCTCGCGGTCTGTGAAGACTGTATGTTACCCAGTTGTTACTCCTTCCTGCAGAAAGCTGCGGTACTTTAAGTACATTTGCAAATGCAGAGGAACAGATGAGATGTACTGTATTTTGCTGATGTATGAGATCTGTTGTCCTACCAAGGAAATATTAAGTCAAGATGACTCCAAATCCAAGAAACTTAGGTTGCATTCTCTGTCATGGCTGATCTCTAGGACCTCAGTTACTCTTTCCTCCAAATGAATTCTAGATTTTTTTATATAATTGTGATGAGCTGGTAATGCCAAGGTCATTCTTGAATCAAGGTCATCTTATGATTTGAGCAGAAATCTAGTCTAGAATTACAGAGAAATATTTTCTTATTTTGGACCACAGGGCCTCACATGCCACTCCAAATATCCCCTTTTTCTTCTTCACTCTTTTTCCTGTCGTGCTCTCAGTGATTTCCCATTCACACAGAAGATCTTATCACCTGAGTTTGGCAGTATATTCATGTGAAGCTAGGTGACCTACCTGGGGATTATGCTAATATCCACGTTTGGTGTTTTTTTTTTGCCACTTGTTACCTGCATGTTGTATAGGTAGAGCACCAGTTTAAGCTATTTAAGGGTTAGTTATCTGCTATTCCTCCTGATTTGCTAAGTGGTTCACTCAAATACCTATACGTGTGTTTACCTTCTTATTTTATTTTGTCAGGAGCATGCTTATGGAGCAATCTCTGAATAGTCACCACTTACTGCACTTTTGATACTCATTACAGGGAGCTCTAAGAATGTGTCACCTGGGTTTTCTCACCCTGAAACATGACGTATTGGCATTACCAATTTCTGCATGCCTGATCCTGATGTACATACCCTGTCTGCTAATGTATCGATAATCACAGTTAATTGTTAAGAATTATAGAAAACCTTGATGTGTTGCTGCTCTACAAAATTCACAGTGGAAGTAGTATATTACACCAAGGATTGCAAAAGCAAAAAAGAATGAGACATTTCATTTCTTCTTTCCTTTAAGAAGGAGGTTTTAAGCAGATCTTCACATTCTAGAGATGTTTCAAATGTCTGAGACATGTGGAAACTGTAATGAGAAAACTGGTGCGCAGAAGATGTGTAAGCTGCTGAAGGACGCATGTTTAACCCCAAAGAAATGCTGGGTGAACAGAAATTAGATACTTCAAGTTTTCTTGAAAATCTGGGTAGTAGTGACCCTGTGGGGGACCAGATTTGCTTATGCTGACAATGGCTTCTGGAAAATGTAAGCAAAAGAACTTCACTGTAATTCATGGAAGAATCATTCCTGCTGCTGGAATGAAGGTTACTGAAGTCCGTGGTCTGTGGTATGTAGTAGCACTGCTGAGCCTGGGTTATCTCTTTGTACCTTAAAATACACAAACTTTACAGTAGTGTGTGGTCAATAACACAGAACAGGTTTAATTTTTGATTTTCATTTGTATATATATATATTGTTAGACCTCAAGCTGACTTTTGCTTACCTACATTCTGTTAATTCCTTAACTGTTCAAATTCTGCTTGTCTGAAGAAATGTTATTTTCATAACCATAATCTCACATAGTCTCTCAGTGGAGGTTTGCAAAATGACCAGAGGAAGTGTGTGTTCTGTGTGTGTCCGTTTCAGAGAACTTGTAAGCAAGAGGGAGCATCTATCTCAAATGCAAGTTTGGCAACTGGATTAGCAAACGTTCCGTGGAGACAGAAAGTCAGAAAGGTCGAGATCTGAAAAAGATGCCTTCATATAATTAAACAATCTTTGTAGGAGCAGAGCTGAAAATATTCACAGAGTCCTTGGGTCCATAGCTGTTCCAAATCATTGCTGTTTTCCTTTGATTGGATATGGACTTTAGTGTTCATATCAGTTACAGCCCTGTTATCATCTGAGAGGTGCAACTTCGCTAACTAAACAGACTCCTCTAGTTCAAGATGGTAAGGTAGGATTTCATTACAGCTCTCATGTTGGGCAGTTATGAGACACAGTTCTAAATGGCAGATGCTTTAATGCCTGTGTCAGGGTCTACAGTGACAAATAGTCACCACTGCACAAACACATTTATTTTACTACAAGACATTTTCCTGGGGAGGAGGGAGTGCCAATCAGAAACCAGAAGCCCATTACACTGTTGCTGTCTGGGACAGGCATTTTCCATGGTTCTGTCTGGGAGGAGAAGCTGCAGTGATTACAGACCTCTCCTACTTTTGGTTAGGCAAAAAAAGAGGGGAAAGGAAGTGTGAGATGAGTGATACAGCACACATTATGTGCTATATAATCATATTTTTTGCCATCAGATTTTCTGTAAAAGCATGAAAGATCGTTTTACAGTAATGCACTTATTTGGCTGTTAAGTCTATAAGCTGTTAGAAGCACAGAGTGCATTTTCATACTCCACAGCTTCAGAACATGACAGTGATGTCTAAACCTGATCTCAGTAAAATGGACAATAGTTGAATCATAGTACCGATAATTAAAATACACACACATTTTAGTTCTGTAAGTGAAAGAAAACAAAAGACTGTTTCTACATCCAGTACTCAGCCTAATCATATCCCTGCTGTTCATGGACAAAATGAGAACTCAGGAGGTAGGAAAATGGCCGCTTTCTTTTTTGGAGCTCATGGAATTTTTGCAGGACTCCTCATTGGGAAACTGGAGGGACAGAGGAGTGGAGTTTGGAAACTGTGAAGATCCAGTGAAGGTCATGGATGTGTAAAGCTCCCTTCCCAGCAATTACATAGGCATTGCTTAAGACACAGCACATCAGAAAACCATCAGATGATTATGTTGAAATTATCACATCTTATACATAAATTGTATTAATCTGTTCCACAATCAGTTGTCAAATACTTTTTGACACATGGATGTGCCAATTTAATGAGCTCTTCGATTACTTGGCTAACAAAATTAACCAGCTGTAGTCAAATGTAGGCATTGCTTGGTCTGACTTAATTCTTGGTGCTGCATTAAGACAGTCCTTAATTATTCCACGCACATGTGGATTTTAAATGCATAAACATCTGAAATGAGAATATCCTGAGATAGTTTTCTTTCAAAAATGTAAACAAAGTATTGGAAGTAATGCAGTCCTGTGATTGTCCTCTGGATTTCTCCATTCCTTGTGAGGTAGTATACATATTCTGTCACCTGCAATTTCAAGTTTTTGTTCATTGTATTTTGAGTATTGTTCTGTCTGTGTAGACAAAGAATTTAGCTCATATGTGTTGATCTCTCCATTATATGTATTTTGAGATTTTGTTCTCCATTTCTTCTGCTTTTCTATACCCACATTGCTGTCACACGAACAAATAAAGCTTGTCTCATGTACATTATTACCGCTTGCTTGAGTTCCTTTGGTGGACACATCAGTCTTCTGATAGTGTAGGGTAAGTATAGAATGATTTTTTCCTGTCCTGCCATGTTTTTGCCTTTGCAGACATAATTGCTACATCCACATGCTCCCTTCCCAATTTTTCCTTACGTACAACAGTTGACTGCTGAGTCAGTCTCAGCTTTGAAACACGTGTATGCTTAGATATAAAAGCGAGTTTTTTCCAAGGCTGGGTTTTGTGGTACACCAGGTAATGTCAGTTTTACCTCTAAATGTAAGCAAGTCTGTTCCAAGGCCCAGGTATCGTTATATTTAATCCTTTCATGTAGATAGTTGTTCTAAAGATGCCCTCAGAAGAATTAAGTTTTAGTTTACCTCTTTGCTTATTTAAGATTTTTTCTAGACATTCTGTACATTTTAAACTAACATTTGTTTCTGGCTATTTTTATATTCCTGCTATTGTCGTATTACTGCTATCATCTGAATTTCCATAAATATGTTGCTGACTGATTTGAATGTTATGTTCACAGCTTGTACTTTGGGTACTCTTACATGTGGCTATTTCCTTTCCAAGTCTCAGTCATGTTCTGTTCTCTCTGTAACTTTTCGCAAGTCTTTTGCTTGCTGCATATCCAAATACCTTGGGCTTTATTTGGCTTTAATTATGAAATCAAAGAGTTTTTCAAAACTAATTATTAACAAAATATCTCTTTTTCTCCTTTTTTTTTTTTCTGCAACGTAGCAAGAAATGAAATTGCTTTCACAGAATCTACTTTCTGTTATCTCTGAAGAATACACTGATCTTCAGACATTTTTATTATTCATTCTAATGTCTTATCATCTTCGATAGGATGCAGGTGTTACTCTAACTGATGTGCTCTGATATCCTTTTCTGTCAGTCTCAGTCTCCTGCATCTGCTAGCTTCTTTTACTCGATAAAATCAGGTACACACCAGTTCCCACTTACAACGTAGTCGGCTGTCTACCTGGAAGATATAAGAATGAAGTGTTCAGACTGCCAGAGATCACCAGTCTGTTACACTATTGTCTACCAAATCAGTCATCCATATTTTTTGACAAAGATGTGTATCGGATGCATCAGCTGAAGATACCAGAGGCTTTGATAGGTTGCAACAGAGAAGTTTTCTTCTAAACCTTGTTTCCACTAGATCTGTACTATATCATCTCTCCTTTGTATTGCTCTGTAAGTACAGACGAGTCATTGTAATGTGATAGAAAGCACAGCAATGACAGCAGGGTAGCAAGGTCCCAGACTGAAGCAAGTGAGGAACTGCTGAAATGCAACAGCTGTGGGCACAGAAACAAAGGAAAGAATCTGCTCAGAAGGCCTCAGGTATGCAGGAACCTCCAGCAAGGTGTCCTTGCCTCCACTGCCAACACTTACATGAGGTCTGGGAAGGGATGGATCCTGGCTCCACCCCTTCTGGTCATGGAGGTGCATTGCATGCAGCTGAGCTCTCTGGGTTGGCCCTACTTTCCACCAGGAGCTCAATCACTGCTTCAAGCCCCACTTTAGCATTTCCACTACAGTCATCCTAAAGGAAAACATGACATTTCTCATGGAAAGAAGCTGGTCTCAGTCAACATTTCTTCTTCCCAAGGCAGTTCATCTGATGTGTAGGAGAGAAATGAAAAGTGAGTAGCATTCAGATGTTCTATATTTCTCTTCTCATTCTAATCAGATTGTACACAACCACAGTGAAAAACAATGCCTGTTTTTCATTTCAGATAAGCTGCATAGACTAAAAGATCCTTGGCTACAACTGAATTGATGGGAGTTTTTGGATTCTTGGAGAAAGAGTACATATTATGGTGTGGGGTTTTTTTGGAAAAAGATAAATATCAATGAGGAAAATTTGAGAAGGAAGAAATACCATGAAAGTGTATTTTCATTGGACAGAGAACCCCTGGAAGAGCAATCCTAGATCTGCATTCTGCACTTGGTAACTAGACAACATCTAGCTGTGTTTAAATTTAGAGAAAATAGTGAGAAGATATTTTGCTTGTGAAGTGTGAAAGCTGGCTTAGAACAGAATCTACTGGCCTGCAGAGTCATTATTTTTAAACAACATTTGTGCATTGTAGCAGCGTAATAGAAATGTTTGGCTCAGAGTGCCAGGCATTATAGTTATTACTTTGTAGTATTATTCATTACTATCATAACTGCAAAAGAGATCAGACAACATGAATTGTGCACCACAAATGATAAGCAGACCCGGTATGTATGCTGCAACCTCCAAATGACAAATAATCAGATCATTTTATGTAGGCCCAGACGTGGCAGCCTACATCATTCCTGAATGACTTCTCAAATATTCTTGCAAGAGGCACCACTGGAATATAACCGATAGCGGATATCTGATTCCTCAGCAGCCTTAGCCCAGGGACTGGCATATTTGCCTGAGATGTGATAAACATGGATAAAGAGATCCCTGCTTTGAATCAAGCAGAGGATGAAAATAAATCAGTGTCTCCTGTGTTTTATTTGAGTGCTTAAAATACAATCCTAGAGATTTACTCCTGGATTATTTTTAGGGGGGGGAATCAAAATTGGCAATTCCCTATTAATTTGACAATGATGATAATGAGATGACAATTCCCAAGCAAGAGGATGCTGCAAATGGAGGTATGTGGGCACATACACTTTGCAGCTTTTTATCTGCATCATCACTGCTTGCTATCTCCTGAATTCCACTCAGGATTTCTGAGAGTGTCTTTTGTTAGTGGCTGTTTTTTGGTATGCTATGAGTATGGGCATTTGTCAGCTAAGGATTCCTCTGGAGGTCCAAGAGTTAAGTACCATAAGAGTTTAAGGTTCTTGGGATGCTCTAGCACAAGCCAGTGCCTATTCTGTGTCATTATTCCTTTCTCAGTACCTCTCTCTCTTTGACCCTCAGGAAACAAAAAAACAATAATCACCAAACAAACCAACAGAATTTCACATGCAGAACAGCTTCATGGAGCATGGAGTGGATGGTCAACCATGCTGTCTGGAACACTGAAAACTTGGCCTGCCCAAGAGTCACAAGGACTTCTAGTACCCAGACAAGCCGTAGGAGAGCACGCATTTGGAAAGGACTGTGTGCAGGAGATGGCAGCGATTGCCCTGCAATCTCACTGCCCTTGTGTGAAGCAGGACTGGGCAGCGTCCTGACTATTTTGCTGACAGCTTCCACTGGCTCACTTCCTCCCAGAGCCAGGGTTTTGGGTTACCCAGCCAGGCCAGCAGGCTTTCATTGCCAGTCATGTGATACATCTTTGGCATGGAAATTTTTTTTGTATTGTGCGTAAGCCACGTGCAGCAAAAGGTTAGCCCTGTTGAAATCCAAAGCCTAAAATTATCTTTGCAGTCCTTCTCTGAAATAAACTATAAATAGTTCTTCCATAGCATATACAATAGATTTCCTAAGTATGCTTGGGAACATTCTATATAGAGCATAAGAAGTTGTTTTGAAGTCATAATAGAAAACCTTATTTCATTTGGTTTGTAATCTCATTATAAATGAAGTAAGAAAGTCTTTCTAACAGTTTTGCCTCTTTGGAAAGCTGAACTTTCAACCACAGTTTATCAACGTACTGAGCTCTGACTCAGTTTGGAATTTCTTTTTAAGGAAAAAAAGATGAAAGCACATCATATGATGTTAAATATCAGTGGAATACAGTATTTGTATATTCGTATATTTCATTTATGCATCATTCTTTCCTCTGGAGCACTTTAATAAAGGCTCTGTCCAATGTTGTTTATAACGGATTTTTGTCAAGCACAATATTCTTTTCATAAAGACATTGGCTCTGTTAACATAATTTCTTCAAGCTTTTGTCAGGTTTTAAATCCTTCTGGAACTGACACCAACTGCCCACTCTGACACTTGTTCATAACTTTTCTCTCAATCGAACCATTCTCCGTCTCTCAGCTGTTGTAGCAATTTCATTTTACAAAGTCTCCTTGTAAGACATCTTTCTTGTTTTTGGAGAACCATACAGTATGGTGGCACAAAGTATTTCAAGGCTCTCAAAGAGCAGCTCATTCCAGTGCCATTCAAGAAAACGAAGCTTCAGTTTAACTCTTAAAAAAATAATAAAAAAAAAAATTAAAATCAAAACCAATTACTTATTTAGATAAGGATTTACAGGTCACGACAACTATGAATCCAAGTCATGCTTCCTTTTGTTAATCTGGCGCAGGCTAGTTAACTGTGACTAATTTACATGTCACTTTAAAAGTCTGAGTATGTGCTTGTGCGTGCTACAGGATGTGTGGATTTGGTATATCATAACAGCAATCACAAGTCAGAAGAAAAAGTTGGCATCTTGAATAAGTTAGTTTTGTCATTTTGCTATTATTCTAAAAACGGAGCTAAGAGATTTTTGTCTGGACTGAATAAGAAGCGAGGTGCCCTTGTCATGAGCAGCCTGCTGTATGCCAGGGGTCTTGCTGGGAACCTTTCCAGGACAGGCAGTGAAGCTTTCTGCAAATTCTTAGCCAAAGCCACTGCTTACCACTAGTTCTGTACTACCAAGATGTGAGAACTGGTGGGATGGTGAAGGCAAGGCAGAGCATGCGCACTGTGTGGCAGCGATGCTGCCCATAGTATTTCTTGACAATCTCCTGGTCCTTTGCTTATATTGTGATAACATTAGTGGTGTCAGAGATCCCTTTGTGTTTCAAAGAGCACATCAATATACAGGAGAGGAATGTTTATTTCATTAAGTTTTGTACATAGTACAGCTTGCACAATTAATCTCCGTTAACCAGAAACCTGATATGTTTCTATAATCTGTGTAGGACTGCTAAAAAGGATAAGAAAAAATGGAAGGACAAAAGAAGGAAAAATGAAGAAGTGATAAATCTATCTGCCACCTTGAACTTGCAGTCACAGTCTTTGTGTACTGTGTGTCTTGCAATGTTCTTACAATAACAGTCAACCCACAGAAAGTAGGCATATTTTTTAGGAATTGCAGTAATATGGAATTACAGAACATTTTGTCAAAGCATCCTCCTGAGAAAGTAAATTCACTTCTGTTGAGGTGTGCCTCTCTTAGACATCCATTCTAGATTTGGCATGAACTGCTCTCTGTGTATGCCCGTGTTTTTCCATTGGCAATTGGAGATGGCTTAAACTGAAACTATTATGTGGCTAAAAATAGGCAAAACTGACTCAGCTCTAACACAGAGGAAGATTAGAGTGCTGACCTAGGCTTATCAAGGTATTGCACCAAGAGGAGAACATAAAGTAAATCACAGGTAGTCCACGTAGAATTCAAAGTATAACGTCTAGGTCTGAAAGGTTTATCTTATTTGCCTTAGTGCACAGATGTGTAGGATTTTAGCTAGCTGCTAAATAGTGTGTTTTAATGACAACACCAGATCTGGATTTTCTTCTATAGCAGAGAGACATTCAGACTAAAATCCCACGTACAAATGTCGGTTAACTCAGGGAATGTTTTTTGGGCTCCTTGGCTGACAAAGTGCTGTGTTGTCAGATAGCAGTCTTGATCTCAAAAGGGAGTAATGTTACATGCTCAGGAGCCAGTTTCCACAGGTCAGTTCCTTGCCCATGCCTAGTGTTGTTGCAACTCATTTAAGAATTCTGGCTTAATTACTTATTTGCTTATGCCTTCACAAGTGGAATAAAACCCTCTCCTCCGTCTATGTTCTGTCTGCCCCATTCTGCACTTGCATTGTCAAAATATTTGTTTTTATATTTTAGGATTAGTGAAAGCACTGTCTCAATAGAGTCCTTTGGCTCCCAACACTAACTAGAATCATGAAGGTTGCTGTCAGCTCTCATAATACTTGTTTTCTGTATTTGTGCTTTTCTCATGAGCTAGGTACATTCACAGTAAAGCCTATTTAAGTGCATTCCTGTATGACTGGCAAGTGTTCAGAATCTTGCAGTACTCAGCTCAAAGTTTGTACTGTTTTGTCCCAAATATTCTCTGTATGTTTTAGAATGCTTCCTGCTCAGCAGGCTTCATGGAATGTAACTGTGAATGGTAAAGCTTTACTTGCATATTAGGTTACCAGTATCCAAGTATTATTTTCCTATCATTCACAACTCCATCTCCTGCAAAATATTTTAGATATATCCTTGTAAAACGTCCTTTGGCTCATTATTGACTATGAGGAGTGCTGGAATGGTTTGTTCATGATTATAGTGGATAGCTGTGTGCAGCTGTCATCCTACAAAAAGATCACCCTGGTAACACCAATCAACAAGCAGAGTAAGATGATCCATATATAACAAAAACCTTCTAAACATTGTCTTTCAACTGAAATATAGAGGCTCAACTGCATCCCAGACTGCCCAGGGAAGTGGGATCTGTGAAATGTACCGTAGACATTGTTATTCCTTGCAGAAAAGCCATTGATTTTAAGTTTTCTTTACACAGTTGAATCTGAGAATGGCCCTACAGAATAAGGGAGCTGGGGAAAAAAGTAATTAAAATAAGTAATTAGTTCAGCATCATTTGGGAAAAGTTATTGGGAAAATAGAACTGCCATGCAAAATATCAAACACAGGATCCGTCTTGCTGTCTTCAGCTGACTGACACTGAATAATGAACAGTGCTAAAATTTATACCACATTTTGTAACAGCAGTAGGGGGAACTTCTGGATAGGAAGTCAGTGTACCATGCACACTGTGCCTATCCTGTTTAAACATGCAATTGATACCATCATTTAGTTCTGAGATAGCACTAACGTGTGCTTGCACTTGTCACATAGCTCATAACTGTAGCCAAAGGGAAGGGAAGAAAAAGTTATATGGGGAAGGGTCAGTGCAAAAATGTAGCTGAGATTCCATGATGTCAGCTGTACATCAACTTAGAGGGCAGGGAATTGAAGTGAGACCATTACACTGCTTACCTGGGAATGACATATGGATATAGATCATGCCAGTAGCACCTGACATCAGATGAATGACATTTCTGTTTACAGTTCCTTTGGACATAGTCACATATAGATGATCAACACAGCATTAGAAAACAGAACAAAACATGGAGAACAATATCAGGAGGTCTTGTCTTTTTAGCATCATACTTAGAATGGTGACCCAACAGTCATACAAAAGTGGTGAAGCAGAGGACCAGTTTCAGTCTATTTTCTTTGACTCAGTTCCTCAAAATTAAAAATGGCAAAGACATGTCTAAAACTATGTGTCAGTGGTTTCCAGCTACAGTCCATGTCACTCATTGCATTGCAAGATTTTTAACGCTGAACACACATGTATTTTAACCACACGTATGTCCTGAATTCACTATTAACGTATGTATATCCCCTAAAACTGAGAGCTAATTGAATTCTTTCCATAGATCTTAAAAGAATAAATCAATTTGAATTTGTTTCTATCATTTATTTCCATGGATAGATGATGATATATGTTCAGTGCAACACATACTCTGAAACAGGTATTATTGAAACTTTAACTTGTTCACACATTTAACTTTCTGTCAAAATGTTTTCAGAGAAAATGCCTTCTGCTCACTGACCTCACAGGGCATTGAGTTTTGAATCTCTTGGCGGTTTTGGCCTAATTGAATAAGAGCAGTACACAAAACCCAGATCTTGGTGCCTGCACCAGACACTGTCAAGCTTCAGTTTGAATGTTCTAAACTCTGCTCAGTGTGAAATCAGTAAGATCTCAGTTGTCCTGGTGAAATACAATTATCAACCAGGTATGAGGTACCAGTTTTAGAAATGCACCACATGTCAGCACAACCTTCTATACACAGTGATAAACACATAGCTGAATTACTCTGCTAGAAGTCAAATTGTTTCCAATTAAAAACAACTTTATATCTAGATTAGAGGAATGGTCAATAGCCCATTGTTTATGAAGATAAAGTATTGGAAATATCTTTTTTGGAAGAGGCAGCAAGACATGTTTTTCCACCTAGGAAAAACATATACTGGGACTTCAATATTTATTTCAAAATAAATTGAGTAGCATAAATCAGTAGCTGAACGGTGTTTGCTCTCTGCTTCTTGGATGCCATGAAAACTCACTTGGAAACAACCATGAGACCATTTTGTGCTGTAACTGCAGTTGTTAAAATTGTGACTCCATGAAATTGATATTTTGACCTAGATTTCGTAAGCTTAAGTTTTAATCTGATTTTCTATCAATCATAAAATTAGTGATATATACTGTGGACGTTTATTTTTTTTAGTTTACTGGATGGTAACTCCATTTAAGTACCTCTTTTGTTGGAAGATAGTTCTATTACAGTAGTTAAGACTTTATCAGATATGCTTGTAGATTGATCAGCACTCTTCTGTTCCTTTTTGTCTTCAGTTCCATTCCCGTATTTCCAGGCTTGGTTCTGAACATGCTTTGCAAATAGTAAGTAATATGCATTAAGGCACTTCTAAGGTTAACTTTGACGAAGCAGACACTAGTTGTGCAGTGTGATTCTGGCATGAAAAAATGGTTTGTGTTTGCAAAGGTTTGTTTCATTCTCTGACAAACTGAAGCATAATTTCCAAATCTAGGAGACATTTTACATCTCTGGATGTAAACAGGGAAGCTCACTATCATACACGACCTCAGTGTGAAATATGATTAATTCATTACTCTTTGCAGCTTTTTTCTTAATTACTGCATATAAGCATACTCTGTAATATAGGAATACACAGATGGCACACAAGA